ATTGGTTTTCCTTGCAATTGGAGAAGTGCTTAGCTTTGGGTTCAATCTTGTGGTGTCCTTTCCCAGTGATAGTAGGGGCAGCAAGGCACATATTGTATTGTTGCCATCGAGGATAACAAGATGGGGTTTTCATCATATTGCTTGAGTTAATCCCGCTACATCATGTCATCTTATTTAATGCGTTACTCTATTCTTATGAACTTAATACTCTAGATGCAGGCGGGAGTCGGTCGATGTGTGGAGTAATAGTAGTAGATGCAGAATCGTTTCAGTCTACTTGACACGGATGTGATGCCTATATTCATGATCATTGCCTTGGATATCGTCATAACTTTGCGTTTTTCTATCAATTGCTCGGTAGTGATTTGTTCACCCACCATAATAATACCTCTCTTGAGAGAAGCCACTAGTGAAACCTATGGCCCCCGGGTATATTTTCCATCATATAAGTTTCTGATCTACAATTCTAGTTTCCTATTTACTTTCTTTTGCAATCTTTTACTTTCCCTTCCATAAACCAAAAATATTACTTTAGCTTTATCCATCTCTATCAGATCTCACTTTGCGAATAACCATGAATGGATTGACAACCCCTTTGCCGCAGTGGTTGCAAGTTGGTGTTTGTTTGTGCAGGTATTTGATGGCTTGTCGCGTTGTCTCCTACTGGATTGATACCTTGGTTCTCAAAACTGAGGGAAATACTTACGCTACTTTGTTGCATCACCATTTCCTCTTCAAGGGAAAAACCAATGCAAGCTCAAGAGGTAGCAAATGCCAACTGATACGGCTTGAAGGGCCTTCCTTATTGGCCCAACAATTGGGTCTGGCCTGTTTGTTGGAGTGATGGAGTTACACAGAACATGAAAAAACACCAAGTTGGCATGCGTCAAATTCTTCGGGCTTTTTTCGGTGCAAGTGTCTTCTACCTTTTCAGGATCCATCAACAGGTGCAGTTGAGCTTCGGTAGTTTACCAGAAATGCAGCATGTGCTCACGAGACTCATCAAACTCGAAGCGTGGGAAATGAAGCATGGCAGCAAACTATTCTGCGGTGCATGTTATCTTCTCATCCTTAGTCATCCATTAAAACACCCATGTGGAGATGTCTTCCAAGCTTCTCGAAATATATAACATGGCATAGAATTACATAATTGCCTCTCGGTTCCACCCATGGTCGAGCCAGAGGAATCTCTTCAAGTGCACTTGGTCGATCTGTTCAATGATTCGATGAAAGCATGGCAGTTCTTCAAGTTCTACGAAATCTAGAATCTTGCTTTCGGATGAGGATAGAGAGGGTGGCAAGGTTCTTCTTGACATTAATGGAGACGAGAACCCATGTCTTTCCATACTGACTGGTTAACAGATTAAACTTGGGAGCAGAAGGGGATGGGCAGAGATGTTCATGAGAGAGGGAGAGGGGAAATGGACCTCGTTGCCAACTAGAGACTAGGGTTTTGGTAGACTCGGGTTGGATGGAAGTCTAGGGAGCACTCACCTCCTTCCTATGCATGTGTGTCATCACTATCGTCTCTCCATCCTTGCCGCCTCTCTGTCTCTGTCGCAGCCACAAATACCACTTTCTCGGTTGTTCTGTGGTGGGTTGGGAACTGAGACCGAACGGGCCTAAACAAACAACTTCATGCGGTTGTGGTTGCCGCTACTCTAGACTAGGGAAGAGGTCAATGACAGAGCTCTCCGACTGTTGTGCGCCCACGCATGGCTACGGTTTGCTCCTTCTACCTCTGGCCTCCTCTACGGAGACTAAATGTTGTGCGCATTTTTTTTGCCTTCAACCAAGCAATTAGCATAGCATGGTGTATTATATTACTTCCCGTCAAACCATGTAGTGATCAATACATGGGAGCAACGTTTTTAGTCTTGATCGAGACTTTTTCACCAAAGACTCAAAATCATAATAAAATGTCGAACATATATATTCTTGAAGTTGTGAAAAGCGATGGGTTGACAAGTAGACAATATAGTTTGAAGGATTGTACATTGTGCACAATAATGTTGTTAAAAAGTGTGAATGTTTTATAATTGTAAGCCTCGAGTTACATCATGAATAGACCATTTCGTTCAATAGTTGTATCATTAGGTGTAATAGTGACAATATATATCGGTCATAAATTCAATCCCAACATCATATATAGACAGAATGAGGCGGTGAAAACTTGTGTTGTTTTTTCGAAAATCATTCAATATACATATCAATTTTTCTTCCATTCAATTTTACTTGTCTCATGCAACTTTCTACTAATATTTGTAGGTGATTTTCACCAAATTGGAGGTCAAATCATTCTAGAGTGTGATTGAAGAACTGAAGAACGAACCATTGGTTCAATGCTTAAAAGGGTGCTTGCGCTCCTAGCTCATTATGGGATAAAATAGAATGTTTGATGGTATGTATCTCACTAATATGAATTATTCTTTTCGTGGGAGATGTCATCTTGTAGATTGCAATGTGGTATCAGCCATTTCATCAATCTTAAAGGTCATCAACCCCGTTTTTCAAGAGGCGTTTCTTAAAAAAAATCATATTGTGGCAGTTCCGCCTTGCAAATTTAGATAGACTCGAGAGGGTCATATGTCGCAAACTGGCAATATGATCATATCCCAATTTCAGAGCATCTGGTCCAGAAGACCCGTTCAACTGGTGACATTGTCTGAGTTTACCTAAATATCATCGGTCAATCTAAATATGTGCCATTTTCCACGGATGCAAAAAACAAAATAGTACAATTTTCAATAGACACTTCACCAAATTGACAGGCCAATCATTTGCCGAGAGCCCGAGACCTCAAGCCGCCGGCAGGATTAGTTAGTTAGAGTAGCTAGTAGTGGTAGTAGTAGTGCCTATAAGAGACCAAAACAAGGACGCAATTTGAACAAAGTAGTGCAGCCAAGGGTACATAACAGTTCCGCGGACGCAGCTTCGGTGCCTTCAAGGCACCTGCCTTTGGGTCACTGACATGTGAGTCAGCCATCTGTTGCGCCCACACGTCATAGACATAAAGGTAGGTGACTTAAGGCACCGAAGCATCGTCCACTTCGGGTTATTGCATTCTACCGTGGCACTAGCTGCGTACGTAACCCAAAATTAAGGAGCTAGCTAGCGTACTTTAAAGCATCTCCAAGAGGCGCGCCAAAAAGCGCGCGAGGTAAACTTGGTTTTTAGTGCGCGCTGGACTGTTTCGCGCGCTTCAGCGATGGCGGGAAACAAACGCGCGCGGGAAAGGGCGGCAGCTCGCGCTACTTTCGGCGCGCCTATAAATGGCGGCGCTCGCCACGCGCCTATCCACACTGCCACGCGCGCCTCGTAGCTTCTTCGCCGCTCCAGCGCGTTCACCGCTTTCTTTCCTTGCCGCTCCAGCGCCCCGCCACCGACGCGCCACCATGCCGCCGCGCCGCCGAGGAGCGTCGGGCTACCGCGGCGTCCGCCAGCGCCCCAACGGCTAGTACTCTGCCAAGATTCGGTCCGGCGACGTCTGGCTCGGCCTCGATACATTCCGGACCTCGCACGAGGCCGCACGCGCCTACGACGCGGCAGCGTGGCGTCTGGACAGGCCGCGCCAGCAGATGAATTTCCAGGATGTCCAAACGCGCCAGCAGGTGCAGGACGTCGCCCCTCCGCCTCGTCTTATCACGGACCAGGACTGTGCGGAGAACGCTCGGCGGCAGCGCCGCCTCCTCGTCGCCTAGGAGGACGAGCGGGCCATGGCGGAGTGGCGTCGGCGCCGCCCGGAGGACGTCGCCAATGAGGAAGCTTTCTGGGCAAGGCGCCGCGCGGAGCGGTTGGATAGGCGTCAGCGGAAGGCCCTGGCGTTATCGCAGTGCGAAATCATTGAAAATGATGGGAGTCGATCTTTTCGTCTAATGATGACCGTTGAGGAGACATGTGGCTCGATACCTCGGACCAGACCAGCGAGGATGCATGGCGATGATGATGATAATGACGACGACTGGGAGTAGGCTGTAGTTGCACTATCTAGTAGTTTTTTTTAATCTTTGCACCATAGTTTTTTATCTATCTATGCTATGAAACTATGTAAAATATCTATGTATCTTTTTGATCTATAAATTTTATTTATCGTTTTATTAAAAAAAATGTACGCAATGTTTAGCGCGCGCTGCATTTTAGGGCGGCCGCTGAAGCTACGCGCGCGCTTAGTTTAGCGCGGCCGCTGGAGCCAGCACTGCCGGCCGTGCCAAACCAAACGAAGGGCACGCGGCAAATGAGTTTTTAGCGCGTGGCGTGTTGTGTGGCTGTTAGAGATGCTCTTACTAAACTAGATCCTGTGAATTGTATGCTACACTTCTTTTTTGTGAGGGAGGTGCTACACTACATAGACAGTCCTCATAAATAATGCATTTTCTACAGGGCAGCCTGCCACTTTACTTTATCCTTGTTGCCTGTCTCGCGGCATGCATACACACATAATGAAATGCAGACTGCGTGTGAATGAACTGCAACATGCAGGATATATCTGGTCTTACGTGGCCAGATCTCCGGGGCAAAACCACCCTCATTGACTTGCATCGTACACACGGAATGCCTTTTATTTAGAAGTATCCGACATACGCAAACGGGCAATGGTACACCTACGAATGGTTTAACGTAATTGTTACGTAATTAGACAGCTGGCAGGTTATAATTGGAGTTAGAGAGAAGGCGGGCCCCACCCCACTTAAAAATAGGGGTGGGGGGAAGTATTGATGGAAGGTTACGTAAGAGGTTTACGTTAGTCTTCGTATGTGTAGGATTATCGTACACAAACTGTTCAATGATGACAACGACAGAAGAATGGAAAATGCAGAGGTACGATTACGACGGAATGGCTGCTCTGCAGTCTGCACCGCGACCTCTATATAAACCAGCCCGGTCTAGGAAGACAAGGAACATAGTCACATATACCTAGCTTAGCTTCTGACCCCTGCATCGACCAATCGATCCTAGATTACTAGCGGAGGAGCTCGCCGTCGAGGGAAAATATATCTGTGATGGGGAGGTCGCCGTGCTGTTGCCACGACGCGGGAGTGAAGAAAGGGCCATGGACGGAGGAGGAGGACAAGACGCTGGTAGAGCACATCCAGAAGCGCGGCGGGCACGTCGGCAGCTGGCGCGGCCTGCCCAAGGCCGCCGGGCTGAACCGCTGCGGCAAGAGCTGCCGCCTCCGGTGGACCAATTACCTCCGTCCCGACATCAAGCGCGGCAACTTCTCCGACGAGGAGGAGCGCCTCATCATCGCCCTCCACGCCGGCCTCGGCAACAGGTACGTGGCCCACCTGTCCACGTCCAGTCCAACTACTCCACACACATACCACCCTACACAGCTCTTAACCGCCATGCACTGTCAATTTCTTCACCGTTGGCTTTTGCACAGTTGTTAGTCTTGAGGTGACACTGACATGCATTGATAATTATTTGGTGGGCGTTAGGTGGGCGACGATCGCGACGCACTTGGAGGGCCGGACGGACAACGAGATCAAGAACTACTGGAACACGCACATCCGCAAGAAGCTCATGCGCATGGGCGTCGACCCCGTCACGCACCAGCAGCTGCCACCCGACCACCACCTTGACGGCACCTCCGCCTCGCTCATGCCCGAGGGGCTCCTCTGGGCGGCGGTGGCCGCGAGCCTCGCAGGCCTCGACACCGGCGCACTCAGGCAGGCGCAGCTTCTGCAGCAGCTCCTCCAGAGCATAGGCTCCAACAACGACGCAACCAACCTCATCGCCAACCTAGCTGCCGCAAACTCAGTGCTGAACTCAAGCAGCAGCGTTGTTCCAAGCCACCTGCTCCAGGACCAACTGAACATGTTGTCTGGGGCGAACTGCATGCAGCCTGGTTACCTCTGCAACACCTCCATTTTTACAGGGCAAGACGTGGTGCAGAGGCAGCTGATCAATGACATGTCTCCTGGAACGAGCTCCTTTGCAGCAGCTGAACCAGCGGATCATCTCTGCAACACTACTGCTGCATTCGCATCTCATGATGTTGCACCAGCGGTTGACATGCTGCCGGTGCAGGAGTTGGCCGGCTTGATGGAGCCCATGGAACTACAACTACCCAATCTATGCTCTCTGGAGAGCGATTCTTTCTGGAAGGAGGTACTTGACGACGGCTACCGTCTATAGCTTCTTTCTCTATATCGAAATAGATGTGTGTTGTTGTATGATAGTTCTGTACATAACCTATAACGTTTGAACTTCATGCAACCAGGCCTGATACATGCAGATGCAGTGTTAGATCCATCATAGAGGTCTAGATGAGATGATAAAACATGCATTGATTTGTTTGTGTGTTTATTATGATTTTTGCAATAGATTTGATTTTTGTCAGTGTAGTTGAAGGTTGTCAATTGCTGATTTGATGTGAATCGTGATGTATGCTTTCCATTGTTAGTTAAAAAAATTAAAAAAGAGGATTACTCTCTGCCTCTGCATCAAGCGATGCACATAACCAAACAATTAACATGTTGCCAATCGGCAACTATAGTGAGATTGCAGACAACTCAAAACGCATAGGCTAGCTATCTTGCACAACTGTATGGACAACGTAAACACTTCATCACAATTACCACGGTGCTTACTAGATGGCACGCGATTAGTGGGGCCTTAAAGAAATAGCCGTGGGATGCTATACTCTCTTTATTCTTTTTTATAAGATGCATGTATCGATTTTTTTAACTCAAACCTTTCTACTTCGATCAAGTTTATAAGAATTCGACATCTACAACACCAGCTCGATTTGGATTGCTCATGAAATACTCCCTCCATTTCTTTTTAGTCCGCATATAACTTTTGTCTGAAATCAAAGTATCTTTACTTTGATCAAAGTTATATAAAAAAGTATCAACATTTACAAGGCCAAAGGGATATCTTTAGATTCATTATGGAATGTAGTTTCATATTATGCATATTTGATATTGTAGATGTTGATATTTTTTTATACAAATTTGGTCAAAGTTGGTGAAGTTTGACTCAGCACAAATCTTATATGCGGAGTAAAAAGGAACGGAGGGAGTATATTTTTCATATTTTAGTTATTAGTATTGTTGATATGGATTTTTTTCTATAAATTTGGTCAAACATA